CACCTGAAGCAATTAGAAAACAACACACCTGTTACATATGATCTTCTTTCATTCCTTCATTTCATCTTTTAAACTGGCAAAACATCAAGAGAGACACAACAAAACACTACAAGCTAAGAGAAAACAAACACATCTAAGGACATGAGACACAGCAAAATGACCTGAGAAAAACAGGGTGCAAAGCTGTCGTAAATAACATAATGATCCATTGTCAACAAAGGAGGCTGCTACAGAACATCAGAGGGCTTCTGTAATGGAGCAGGTTGTTAAGAGTCCAAAATATGAATCCAGAAAAAAAAAATTTTTTTTGGTACTGCTTAATTCTCATCTTTGTTTCCTGCTGATGTCTCCATTACTGTCTTGTTGTTTGTTCTTGCGATTTTGCCAAAAAACATATTGTCTTAAGAGCATTTTTACAAGTAAATCACATCCTAAACCCAGATGACAATTTTTTGTCACCTTTTAATGGGAAATATGATGGTATATGTTTATAATTTTGTGGTATTTAAAATTAAAGATGAAATATGGATTTGAAAACTCTGCCAAAGGGAATACTTCTTTCTATTTTTGTCCTGTTGCAGCCTCCTTTGTTGACAGCAGATAATTACGTTATTTATGACAGTTTTGCATCCCATGTTTTTTCAGGTCATTCTGCTGTGTCTCATGTCCTTAATGTTTGTATTTGTTTTTCCTTATTTAATCTTTAATTTTAAACACAAAGCCACAAACATGTGCCTTCTTATTTAGATTATAAGATAAGATAAGATTTTATTTCCATGTGCTCTCTGTGTAATGTGTATATTGGCCAAACGTCAAGAAGCCTTTAACAACAACACAGTGGAGACAGCAACAGATACAAACTGACAATTATCCAGTGACATGTCACTTTAATGAATGTTCTCTTTGTGTTTCTGCCTGATGGGTTTGAAGTATTTAAAATTAAAGATGAAATATGTATTCAAAAGAAGATTCTGCCAAAGGGAACATTTCTGGATTCATATTTTGGACTCTTAACAACCTGCTCCATTACTGAAGCCCTCTGATGTTCTGTTATGTTATTTATGGCAGTTTTGCACCCTGTGTTTTTGTTTATTTGTTTGTCTTAGACTTTTCATCATATTGATGTATTGTTGTGTTGAGTTTGTTGGGTATTTTTGTTGAACATTAATAAATAGGGCTGCACAAATAATGGAAATATTATCAACATCGCAATACAGCCAAGTGCAACTCTCAAATTGCAGGAGTTGCAATTTTTCCACTAAGGTAAAATGTGTCACAACATATTAGTATTAATCAAGAGATGCACCACCAGCCTACAAATCATACTCCAGACATAAGGGATCATGCTTGTTTGGTACAGACTCCAGCAAAAATCACATTGTTGTCACCTTATTTATTTATTTTTCAGTGAAAATTAAATGCAAAAATTACCATTACCTCTAAAATAGCAACGCATCGCAATTGCAACATCTGTCAAAATAATCACAACTTTTTTTGCATGTCCCGCAGCCCTTTAAAGAAAGATACTCATAAAGTTTTACAGCATTTAAAACAGGTGTGTGGCTTCAGTGCTTCAGGTGTGTTAATTGTAAATTATCTCCTCTTTCTTGGAGGTTATTTCTTCTGTGTGTGTTTGGCATATCTCTGTTTGACTGAAAGCTCAGAGGAACTGGGCGTATGCAGGGAGGGAAGGGTTAAGAGTGTGAAGATGCTTTTCATCCGACCTATTAGGGAGAGACGTCTTTACATGACAAGTGGGCTGCCTTTCATCTTTATCAGGGCTGAGTACAATTAGTCACCAACAGTAGTGAAATCCTCAGAGAAATTACTGGCAGAGGTGAAGATGTGAGAGCATGAGGAAACACAAAGCTTTGAGTTGGAAGACGCAACAATTGCTCTCAGCAACCACTTTGTGGTCATACAAAGTTTCCACATCACTCACACCGGCCATTAGTACAAGGTCAAGATTGTGTGTGGACACATCAGAATCACTTTCTCTAGACCAGGACAGCTACAAGTGAAGCCCACAGGCCAGTTGTGCACAGTTCAAATGAGGACAGGGACTTTTGTTGCATCCCTCTACTTTCACTATGTAATAAAAAGCCCATTAAAATAATATTGTACTGCATTGCTTTGCTCTGAATATTTCATGTGAATACATCTACAAGAACATTTTTAAAAAACCTCAATTCGAGTAGGATTTGTATTTCTTTGTTGAGCTGTGAAAATAATTATTTTCAGTAATTGCTGATTATGCCTTATCATCTTGCAGTATCAGTCTGCTCCATTTAGTGTCTGCATGACCTACATTCTTCATCATTGTGAAAAAAAAAACAATATGAATTTTATGTAAATGCACTTACTACAAAGCACAAAGAATGAAAAAATATATTGAGTGAGCTGTGGTGCGCATTTTCATACTTCATGCTTGACCTAACCTGACCCTAACCCAGCCTACAGTCGCCGACTCATTTGTTACTTGTACCTTATTCATCCACCCTTAAGTCTGAAAGCACAAACACCACAAACTTTAACTTCCCATTGCAATCATTTCTGCCAAATCCCCCAGAATCTCCTCCTTGCCTTACACGAACAAGTTGAGCTTTGTTTCCTCCCTGCTTCCTTTCATTCACCTGATCCCTGCAGGCTTTTAGACGCTTTAAAACAAGTAGTGCAGGGGGTTTCTGTCTTTTAACCACATAGCTGGAAATAATGTAGCAGATGCTCATAGAATCTGAGCAAAGTGCTGGTAAGACCGCTTCTGGAGAGATTGCCAACAGTCTAATATTAGCTGAGCACATGGCTGTCTATCAGTCACTAAGCTGGCTAAACTTAGTTTGTTGCTTCCCAAGCCTCTTTCCCAGTTCTTTTGCTCTACCACTGACCTCTGCTGGGTACTCGAGTGTCTGGGGAGAGGTTGAGCTGCCTTTTCCACTGATGAGTGAATGACTCTGTGAGGAATTTGCAGAATATAGAAGGGAAATAACTCTGACCGTAAAAGGAAAGTGTGAGTACTATCAGGAGGTGGGAATCAGAACAAAATGTTCTTTAACTCGTACATCCGATTAAGAATCATCTGTAAAAACCTGCTGGATTTTCCTCTGAGACAAACACAAACTGCTGCTGCTGAAGTGAGCTGTGTTGCCCTCGTCTGGCAAAGCTGTTAGCTCATTCTTGAATATCTAACAGGATTAAGGAAAACACACTCACCACTACCCCACCCTTTTGTGCCAAACAGACTTCCCTTTCCTCTACATGTCTTCCTATCAACTTCATTTCTGTTTTGGCCTTTCACAAACTATAAATCTTCCCCCCTAAGCATACCCTTTCTTCCTCTTCCTGTGTTTCATATCAGTACGAAGTCAAGACCCCCCACCTCAGGCTCTTGTGTCTAAACATAGCACCTTTGGAGTAATTAATCAGGTTAGTGTGATGCTACAGGTCTGGTGGTTTACAGCTGAAGAGGCAGCCCCTGATGAAGAACTGGCTCAGGCATATGATGGGATTTAGTGAAATTATGTTACTGGAGGTGTGTACCCTTCAGCTGGCTGGTATCAACAACAGTTCTCTGTTGGTTAACTCTTCAGAGCAGATCAGTAGCTATAATTCTCAGGATCAAAATGCTTTTGAATGAGTGTCCAATTTGTCACAGTGGCTTTTCCCAGTCAAGACGGGGCTCTACAGTGATGGAAATCTGATACCGAAGTCATTTTGCTCGTTAATAGTGCTGGGGCAAAGCATTTGATAATTACTTGTTAATGGTGTGTTCCACTCAAAGCGCAAAGTGGAGACATGTGAGTTCAAAGCGAACGAGATGCACCTTGTGATAAGTTTGTGGATATATTTGGAGGTTGTGTAAACAGCAGCTGTAACCTACAATGAGGATTAATTAATTCTATGACTATTTTAGCCTCTGAATATCTTGTTGAGTCACATAAACAAGGTTCATGTCCCAAAACTGCATTACCCAGTTTGAACAGAAGGGGGCAGTGTGCACATCCTCTAACAGAGAGGAGCTGAACAGGCTACTGCGCATTCACATGCACAAAGTCACAGATTGGCCCTGCTCCAGCTCACTATCAGGGTTAATCTATTCACACACACCTTTCATACCATGTGATTGACGCTGTGATGCTATCAATAAACCCGTTGACACGATATTTCTGTCCACATAGGTGTCGGCCATCAAAACAAAACAGTTATGGTAACAGTTCAAGCAGAGGACTTGTTTGCTAAGCAACATGAAACTAGGAAAAAGTTAATTCAAGCATTTTAACCTAGTTTCTGTAATTGGAATATAAGATTACAGAGTAACCAGGTTAAGGAGACAATTACATTAACTATAGGCTAGATGAAAATGTGGGTACTCTCAAAATATCATGTTAGAGCAGCATCTTTTTCGGCATCTGTGTGGGTGTAAAATGAGTTGTGTTTGTGTGTGCATAGTGTCTCGTACTTGAGCATTTGCAGGAACGCATCACAGAATGTCCATGTGTGTCTATGCGTGTCTGTGTGTGAGTCGTCCATGGGAATAATTACTAGCAAGGCCCCCTGGCTTAAGTAACAGCAGGGTTAGTTTGTTGTCCCAGCAAATGGATTTCCATGGGAAAACAGACCCAAGACGCTGTCTCCCATCACGCAGACACGCTGAAATTATTCAGGCGGGGGGTCCTCAGCAGCACAGCCGATTTGGGAGCCATAGCCTCCATGATTCAGTCACAGGCAGCACTTATTTGGACAGGGAGGTTTGCTCTGACACAACAGATTGGCAGCAGAGAGCTGTGGACGGACAGATTCTGAGAGAACTGTGGAGACAAGTGAGGGAGAGAAGAAAGAGAGAGCAGACTAACTCCACAGACTGTAAGCAGAGCAAGGTTGGCTGCTGTCTGTTTCTTTCTCTTAATCCTTAAATCTTCTATAATCAGGATGAGAGGGAGAGAGCATGTTGCCTGACTTAGGACAGCAGAGTCTATGTTGGGACCAGGACGGATTGCCAGCTGATGAAGCAACCTAACTGGCTGGTAGGAGAGATGGAGGGAGGGGGAAGGCATTCAGCTAGTGTCAGTTTGGGAAACTTTAACTTAACCAGTTTCTACCAAGAGCCAACAGGAATACAGGAGGTCCAAGATATGAGGATGGTTTAACTACTGAGAACAAGTAAAAAAAGAAGAGGACTAACCCATGGCTGGATTGTTTTAGGGTGAGACTTTACCATTACCATTTCTCCTAAGATTTATTTTTCACTTTGCTTTGACACAAATTGTTGCATATTCTTTACACTTTAACTCCACAGCTCATATTTAGGATTTCGAGGAAGAAGCTTGATCAGACTGCAAGGTGCTACTCAGCAGGAAGTGTAGGCCACAATGGCAGAGTTAAAATAGGAGCTTTCTATGTTTGTGCAGACGGAGGAAGAGAGAGAGGGAAAAGTTTGTGTGATAGTAATCTTCATTCTTCTACATGACACAATGCTGAAATAGGAACATATGTTTGTGGGATTAAAGGGGTTGAGCAGTCCTATCTGGCATTTAACGAGCGCTTATCCAAAAGATGCCATTACTCTAATAAATTGTCAGCAGGTGCAAAGCTGCTTCTGAGCAATCTGTGCAAATGTGTGCCTAGTGTGGATGTGGTGTAGGGAGCTACGCAGGGCCAAGGCAGCTTGATGACTGAAACCCTCAATCCCTCACTGGCAGAGCAATCAAGCTCTGTCTCACACTCATCTGCAGCTCCTTCAAAACATTACAAATGACTAAGTCTATCCCATTCTAAGCCTGAGCCGAGAGAAACAGTGTCATCATTGGTTTTAAAATACTTCATACAAATTTGTATTTGCATGGTTTATTGATTTATGCCAGAAACCAACTGGATACCTGTGAGTGCACTTGTATTGCAGAGCAGTGTGACACAGTTAAGACACCATTACAGATGCTGTTACTAGCCTAGTCTCCAATTGCTTGCAGCACCATGAGGCCTTTCTCAACCCAGTACACTCCTACTATGCCATCATTCACAGGACTTTCACAGACTGAGCATCTGACGATTTTCAGTGTTTCTTGACCATTTACTGCACCTAGAATCTGTAAATATACACCCATCTTACATTCATACCTACTCCCTCTCTTCTTCTGTTCTATAACGGGCTGAGCTAGTTAACAAACGTCAGCAAAAAGCATGTTGTACAGTCAGCTTACCCATCTTGTAAATCAGACTTGCGGATCAGTCACTCTAACAAGAGGGCGGAGGTGAGCTGAAAGCTTGTCATCCTCTTTAGGCATCGTGCCTTTTACACAAGGCCCGTACAGGTCATCAGATCTATTTAACACGCTAACTTCAAAGGCTGCCAGTCTTTTGTTGTTAGTTTCACAGTCATACTTGAACTAGTGTAAGAGGCAGATTTTGAGGAGAAGAAATCTTACACCATCCTACCCTGCATGGCACTGAGCAAAATGCAGATGCACACCAATATTTTCTCAATCACCGACACCTTTCACATCAGGATAAGCGTAGTGTTTTTTGACAGAAGCTGCTTTGGATCATGAGATATGTCAGGTCAGATTCTCACTGTTGAATTTTAAATGCTCAAATCAACAGCCTGTGGCCATTAGTGATATTTTTCCATCACTGTAGCACTCAAACATGGCATTGCTCACTAAAAATAAGCTGTTTGATGGGCATAAAAGTTTGATGGAGTTTGGTAATGCTCTTCACTACACCTCCTTTTAGAAACTCAGCCTGATACCAGAGGAAGTGCATGGCTGTCTCATGGATGGAGGAACAAAATCAAGAAACTGTGTTCATTTTGAATCCACAATAACATTAATGTTTCTTATTCAAGATGTGGGTGATGTGCAGAAGACCTGACACCCAGGTGTGAACCCAGGCAGAAGGGGGTCCAATGGCCACTGCAAATTATGACCCCGACTTGGGCGAAGGCCCGTCCGAGGACTTGGATAGCCTCCTGGATGATTCTGAGTCAGGGAGTTTGCTTTCTGAAGACTCAGTGCTTCCTGACTATGACAGGGATGAAGAGTGTAAAGACCCAGCTAAAACACTGTATGAGGCCTGTAGTAGGAATGACCCCAACTCCATGCGCAGGATCCTGGAGCGAGGAGTCACTAAGGACGAGGCTATGGAGCTGGACATCAACGGCCGGGTGAGATTTATCACACATGGAAAGAGTTTGACACAAGTGAGAAATCTAAATTTCTACAATGAACACTTTCATGAAGGTCAATTTATCTCTGCCTTCCTCCCCCTCAGAATGGACTAATGCTGGCTGTGGTCAAGGGATACGTAGATATTGTCACCATGCTGCACACATGTCCACTTATAGACATCAATCACCAAGACAATGATGGCAACACTGCCCTCATGATTGCTGCCCAGGCAGGTATGTCTGTTGACCTGTACAGCACATAAACATAACATCTAGTCTCAAGTCAATTCTACCATGTTAACGTTTTTTTTTTCCCCCAATCCAGGTTTCATCACCATTCTGAACTTTATTCTAAACTATTACTCTGGTGTGGACACCGAGGTCAGGGATCCCCGTGGCTTCACAGCCCTCATTAAGGCAGGTCTGCAGGGCCGAGCAGAGTGTGTGTCCGCCCTGCTAATGCATGGTAAGTTTACAGTACATAAGACCTACTATAAACTTTGTAGTATTTTTTAATTCAGATGGGAGGAACATCTGGTGTGTGTGTGTGTGTGTGTGTGCATACATGGACAATAGATTTATCCAGAGGCAGTCAGCCCAGAATCTTGAGACAAAACAACCCTGTCTCCTAGAAATTACAACTATATACAAATAATTTGAAACAACAACTCTGTGTTTTTCAGCGGATGCCCAGCAAATTATGTTTTTTTTAGATAACACTGCATTATGTAACTCTGGAGAAAGATAGTGGATTGTTGAGTCTAATTCCCAGGTTATCAAATATGACACTTTGAGTTGGTAGTTCAGTCTGACAATCGGGAATGAAACTCAACTTTCTTTCTCCAGAGTTACATAATGAAACACTATCAAAAAGAATTAACTGCTCGACAGTCCCCTAAAGCACTTGAGGAAATGTGGGAACTTAAAAATCTGTATCAGTTGGTATCATATCAGTCCCATATGGTCTAGCGGTTAGGATTCCTGGTTTTCACCCAGGCGGCCTGGGTTCAACTCCCGGTATGGGAATCTCTCTTTGGTCCAAGTCCCTATAGACTGAGTCACTGTCCCCATCGATTCAAGTCCCCACCTAGACCAGATATACAGTGTGGACTGGTAGTTGTAGAGATGCTAGGTTGACTCCTGAGCAGTTGGGGGTTTGGTGCCTTGATGAAGACATTAAACCCCCAACTGCCCAGGGTGCCTGTCCATAGGCAGCTACCCCAACATCTACCCAAATGCATGTTAAGGCCTGTTTGTACATGTGTGTGTTTTGGGCCTGTGTGTATATGACAACAAAGCGAGAAAAATTTAAGGATTAATAGGTATATCTAAGCGGCACGGTGGTGTGGTGGTTAGCACTCTCGCCTCTCAGCAAGAGGGTTGCCGGTGCGATCCTGGGTGTGGGAGCCCTTTTGTGTGGAGTTTGCATGTTCTCCCCGTGTCAGCGTGGGTTCTCTCTGGGCATTCCGGCTTCCTCCCACAGTCCAAAGACATGCAGATTGGGGACTAGGTTAATTGATAACTCTAAATTGTCCGTAGGTGTGAATGTGAGCGTGAATGGTTGTTTGTCTCTATGTGTCAGCCCTGCGATAGTCTGGCGACCTGTCCAGGGTGTACCCTGCCTCTCGCCCGATGTCAGCTGGGATAGGCTCCAGCCCCCCCGCGACCCTCAAGAGGATGAAGCGGTTAGAAGATGAATGAATGAATAAGTATATCTAAAAAAAAAATCCATCAGCAAAATGTTTACTGACAACGCATTTCATCTGTTGCCACCAAAACAGGCAACTTGCAAATCACTATCCACTCGTAGTGACTACAGCATAAAGTTTTTATTATACCCTTTTTATAAACATTTAACCAAAATCACGATCTTTCCCTAACCTTTACCAAAGCACTCTTGTTGCCTAAACCTAACCATAGACAGAAGTCTGGATATGAGCCCAGGATTCTGGTGTCACAATCCTGCACCACAACATAATTACGAATGCAGTTTAGTAATATACAAATGTCATTTTTAGAAGAGTTGGATATACAAGTCTGGAAGTCTGACCTGTAAACTAATCTGGTCTTTCTCTGGGCTGCGGGGATTAGTCCTGTATAAACAGTACAGGGACATATTTAGGATAGCACGAAAAACAAATTCCAACAACGTTCTATTCAAAGTCGAGTCAGAGACAAATGACTTGGCAAACTTGAGCCAAGTGTGGAATAAAAATATATGTCTGGTGCTCTTGGATTTGTTATAAAGCCCTGATTATTCGTTAAGTGGATTGCCATAGTCTTTGAAATAGACTCTATACTCTATGAATTGTGCTCCTAAAGCGACCACATGGTGGGGTGATTTTACTGATGAAGCAGCTGATTTCCCCACATCCCTCAGCATCCAATCTTTATAAACTTGTATCCTTATTTTCACCACATTCTGATGTGTCCTCCCCTTTTTGTGTACAGGTGCAGATATGAATGCAATGGACTTGGTCCAAGGGAGAGGGCTAAAGGATTGGGTCCTCAGGACAGGAGGGTTTGAGACTCTTAACAGAATACGCCGCCTGCAGGCTCATTGTGTCGCTGAGCAGTTCTGTGAAAGCTACGTTCCTGAGTGGCCTGATCTGAAGCAACTGGTAGCAAAGGCCACTGCCGCCAAAACAGCCAGCCAGAAGCTAAGGCAGCGCTTAAAAGACAGCATTACTTTCAGTTTCCCTCAAGACCCTCAAGACAATGGGGTCATGGACCATATGGTGCGGATGACCACAAGCATCCACAGCCCCCTGATAGTCACTGGTTGCCATCCACTCTGTCCCACCAGCCCCCCAGAAATTGGCAAGCGGCGATGGGCTGTCTCTGAACTGCTTGAAAAGCATGGCAGCAAAGAGTTGGAGGAGAGCACAGTGTCCCACAGCAAAGGCCCAATCATCACCTCAGCTTCTCCCACTGCTGTGTCAGCCGCCTCTGTGTCTCTGACCTCCTGCTGCCAGGACTCAGAGCGCAGGGACAGCATGCCATCAGGTGGCATGAAAAGCTTCATTCCCCGCAGCATAGCACACAGGAACAGCATCTTCCCCTCAGGCTGTATTCCTAAGATTGAAGTGACAAAATCTGGGGAGCCCACTCCAAAGAAGGAGAAAAAGAAGAAAAGGCAGAAGGGCTACCTGGAGCCTCCTGTCTGGAAGTACAAGGAGGCCAAGGAGGAGAGAAAGAAGGAGAAGAATCAAGAAAAGGAAAAAGAGCAAGAGAAAAAAAACAAGGGGTCTAAACGAAGCCACAAATGAGGAAGTCTTCTCTTTTTCTCAGAGAATTTCACTGAGATAAAGTCAGGCAGGAGGGATCAGCATGCCATTACAATGAGGACAGTTTTACTAAGGAATTGCAAAACCAGTTTGGAAGTGCGCCGCTGGTAATTAAACACTGATGGATTGGAACTTGGGCTTGGGATGAACATGAGAAAACTGGAGTGACTTGAATTTGCTGGATACAAAGTATTTATGTAAACCAAATGTTATTTGGTTTTGGAGATATATGCTGACATGTCTTAGCATGGCTGTTTCTCATTTCAGCGTCTACCTGGTGGTAGATTAAGTCTCACAGAGATGCAAAATTGATTTGTTTTGAAAACTTTATTTCACCAATCTGTGTATTGTGAATAACTTCCAAGTAGCGTGCCATCATGGTATCCAACTGCAAAGTAACCAAAGCAATAGCAAATACTATACATACAGTACATAAGAGCAATGGCCTTCAGCAAATAAATGTATGTTATAGTTAATGAAAAAGACTGTGATGTTAAATGGAGGAAAAAGACAACACATCATCAGACTATGTGCTGTGCTCCTCTACAACACAGGCTCAAAGAGACAGTGGTTACTTTTTGTAGGACCAAGCAATGGGGGGAATGTGTCGGCACCCAACTATTTTGAGATTCATAAACTCTTGTTTCTTTTTCCACTCTGCAATAGGAGTAATGCTGTTGGCAAAAATTCAGAAACAGGAAGTAAACTGTAGCTATGTAATATCTTAATTTTGATTGAGATCACCATTATTTTCAAAGGTTATCCAATCCTCTCTGTATGCAACATGTAACATATACTGGATGCCTTTATAATGTTTTTTGACAGAATTTTAAAACTCCAAACTGAGCAATGGCATGTGAATGATGTTAGATCCAGGAAAAAAAGAACTTTTTCATTTAGTCTGATGATGGGGAAAAACTGCTCACTGTTACCTCTGCACAGCAAAGAAACTATTTGTGCATAATGTTGCTCAGGAAGTTTTTTGTTATATGTTGGGCATTATACTTTTAAGGGAAAGTCTGGATCTTTTGAAGTGGGGTTGTATGAAGTACTTATCCATAGTCAGTGTGTTACATATCAGAATCAGAACCAGAAATACTTTATTGATCCCCGAGGGGAAATTATTTATGTTACATATAGTAGATGTCTGTTGGCACACCACCAGTTTGTGGAAGCAGGCAGGAGTACTGTACTGTAAAGCCAGACTCCATTGAGAAAAACAGTAATTTTACCATGCTCAGTACAGGAGCTAATGGGCTAACGCTGCCTCAATCAGCTAATTGTGTGGCTTCACTGAATTCAAACTAACAATTTTAAATGCCAAACCCACACAATTACTGTAACTAACTAGCTGATTGAGGCAGCAGTAGCCCAGCAGCTCCCTTCTTAAGCGAGCTAAAATTAATGTTTTTGCCAATGGAGTTTGGTGGCTTTGACAAGAGCATGGAAAGGGAACTGAGGCCGTTATTGGCTGTATGCGGCAAGGTAAAGTGGTGAAAATATTCTAAATATAGCATACCCTTAAAGTGTTCCGGATTATTTTAGGTGGCTTAAATACGTTTTGCTGTCAACCCCGTCCACAGCAGTACATTGCTTAGCCTCTTTAGCGGTCCTCTTGTCTGCTTCTCCAAACTGGGGTGTGTGCCAGCTGACATCTACTGTATGTAATACACTGACTACCTCATGCAACCCCACTTCAAAAGATCTGAACTATCCCTTTCACCACCTGTCAAGGCAAGAAATGTATTTTGGGGTCCAGCTTGCACTGGGGCGTTCTGTACATAGATCAACTTGGTACTTGATAAAATCATAAGTAATAACTCAGAAAGCTATCACTGCAATATCTATTCTAATTACAGCAAAATATATTTAAATGTGTTATCTAAAAAATAATCTATTTTAGATACCTGTTCTTACAAAATGCTAGAGCATCGTTCTGGGGTTATTTATTTTGAAGTGGAAGCAAGAGACACAGGAAGCTCGGGTCTTCTACAACTTGATAAAGTGTGAGACGGATGAAAATGTGTGTTTGTATGCAAGCTTGGAATAAAGTTACTGACCTTTTCAAGTCGGTTTGTTTTTCTTCACCACGCTTCGCCTCTGATTTGTTGATCTGAAAGAACCACAACACTGTGTGTTAGTATGGTTAAAAGTGCAACACTCTAGATCAGACTCTCCCAACTGGTGGGTCGCGGTCTAAAAGTGACTTGGAAACGTATCAACTTTGTAAAAAACACACCTTATTTTTAAGTACAATGAATTTCCAGCACAGAGATCTTATTTTGAAGTGCCGTTTTCTGCTGTAGAGTGAGTGAATAACAGACAGATGCTTAACAGAGACAGCAAACTAGCTTGAGATAAACACAAGTATGACACAGAATATATTAAACTGTATAGACATTGAACTAATGACTAAGGAGAAATCTGGACCCCGTGGCTGGACCAATTGGGCACCACTGCTCTAGATGACTGTTACACGGGGAGCGGGCACAAGAGGCTTGAATGTCAAAATTGTTCTTTATTAAAACCATGCTTGGTTCATAGATAAAGAACTTCTGCAGTTCAAACAGCTGAGGAGGGAAAAAGGAGTTTAAGTCAGTATTGAGCAATGTTAAAACGACAGTCCCCAATCTGAGAGAGTGATCTGAAAGAACCACAACACCACCTGATAGAGTTTTCGGTTTGGTTACAATCCCCAATAAACATTTCGTAATGTACAGAAATACACTCTTACACAACTCCCTGTATTTACACGATAGAAATGTAACACTCCCGAAACGGACATGCATGTGATGGATGAGCCTCTTGCCTGGCACCGTGGCAACTCTCTCACAATAAAGTTACTTTGAGCTTCTTAAGGAAGCCTATAATGCGCTCACTGGAGTGGCATGGGGTGACTCTTGAACCCTGGTCTGTAATCTTTTAATCCAATGTGCACTATCATTATATAACAATTAGCTTTTATTGGTGCTAACATGGAATCAAAATGGCCACTTTGATGTGTTACATATTTCATTGAAATTATTTCTATGAAAACAGGTCAATTTCATGTTTCATATGTCGTTAAAAAGCGAGAACAGATCTGCAAACATCGTCGCATTGTATTTTCAGTATTGGGCTCACTTCCTCTTCACAGGGGGAAACTTGGTGTGTGGAGGTCAGCTTGTAAATAAATATCTCTCTAGACTTCAATGAAGCGTGACGTTAGACCAACCATGTGTAGGAGAGACAGTAAACACATATCCTTTACAGTCTTAACATATAGACTGGACCAGAATGTAGATTTTAACCTCTGTAAGGCTTGAACATAAGCCAACATTATATTTTGATTTTATGTGTCATGTTTTCCACAGCAACATATTCACAAGTACTTAAGTGGGGGCAAAATGAGTCGTCCCTTTATCAAGAATAAGCTTTAAAAAACTCAGTATGAAAACATGTCTGTTCAAGCAATATCACATTTCCTCTACTCTCGTAGATAACAAATAGAGGCTTTTTAGAACAACCTTAAGGGAATAAAACCATGTGGCTTTTTGAATCACAGAGATTAGCAGAAAAGAAAAATAAGTGCTGATTAAAAAGAGGGAAACAATTTGCTCTTTTTCCTACATGACAGCTGATGTGAAGGCTTCCAGCTGGTTCTTCAGCCATAAGCCAAAAACGGAGAGATTACGGAGCCTGAGAACAAGGAGGGGAATTTATATTACAGACATGAGGCCATCTCTCAGGCTCTGCTGAATGAAGTGTTTTCACACAGCCAAGTCTGTTTGGCATCCAAGAGACAAATGTATTTGCCATTAAGAGACACTTTGAGTGCCACAACTGCAGTATCAGAAAGGCACTCGAGAACCACTGTGTTATCCTCAATTTGAGGGGAGATGAAAGCTTTATAACACTCATCAAATGCATTAAACACACAAATTGGAAGAATATTATAATTTCTTAAAAAGAAAAATGTATCTTAAGGTCCCACTCCACTCAAATATATGTTTTGCTTATTTCTATTTTGCATGGATGTTTTACCTTCACTTTGCAGAATGATTTACGTGCAGCGTTTGACACTAAAAGGCTGGTTTGAAATTCATCTTCATTCATCTTTAATGACATCACAATTAATTTGGAAGTAAATTCAATATGCAACCAACACAAATGTGATGTTGAACCTTAAAACCTCTGATTCACTTATGAAGTAGGGGACAGCTTGTGCAGGTAAAGCAGCTATAAACGATATTTTTATAATAACAACATATCAAGTGACAACCTGAATACACTGTTAATTGCTTGTAATAATGAATCTGCAGAAAATGACCACCTGGATCTGCAGCTCCAGTCGTTCCAGGCCATGAGCCTGAAAGACAGCTCAGGCCTTTTGCCTTATTCTATCCATAAACCATCAATTAAAGGAGGAGATTGTGAGGAGCTCCCCTCAGGTTTACAAAGATTTATAGCGAGTTTCAGCTCACTCTCAGGTTGTCTGGCTCACTTCACCACTCTCATAGCATTGTTTTTGGCCAAAGCAGGCAGCTGCTTTCAGTAAAATAGCTCCAAAAACCCACTGCACACTACCTGTTCAGCTGACAGACAGATAGCAACTAGCTGGTGAACACTGTGGAGCATTTAGCAGCTAACGAGCCAGATATTTCCATTAGGAGCTGGTAGTGACCAAAAACTCATCTATCAGCTTAAAAGACTTTAGAATATGTAGGAGAATATACCCACTTCTTCCTCAGTAGCCTACTAATCTACCTAGTAGTAGGCTACACCCACCTCATCAACGACCACTACACTACTGCTGATAACGCTGCTTAATAACTGTTGGATCTGTTTGCCAACATGTTCAACATATCAGCCTATATCGGCATGGTCTCACATAAGGGAATGCAGGCACGTGACCCTCACCTGCCGAGGCAATATTCGTGCTAAATGTGGGAAGTGATGGATGTGCTGCACACAGAAAGCTAGCTTGCGATTATACCGCAAAATATGATGTTATTTGTAGGCTACATTTCCAAATTCTTACATTCCATGCATCTCTCCCAGCCAGGCACCATCTCTCATGTGGGGCAGTTTGTATTTTTCTTGGTAAATATCGTACAATACAGGTACGATCGACACAGCAACAATCACTGTCTATGTCTCCATGCATACTTCTTAGCTATTTGTTGAGGCAGCGACTTTGCAGGTCAAAGTTCACCAAGGTGGAGCTCCATGCAATGCAAAGATGCGAATTTGCTTTGCCAGCCCTTCGCTCACACTGAATGGAAGTGAACAGGAAGCAAACATGGATGTATTAAGAGACAAGGCCCCCAGGAAGCAGCTGGGCTTTGAAGCCAAATTTTGTAGTGGCCAAACAGTGGAATCACAACTCCCAGGTCCGTCACATGATGCCATTGGGCCCAAAAAAGCCTTTTTTTCCCGCAGACGTACCTTGGGAAGGAGACATCTGTAAATTAGTGGACATATATATATATATATATATATATATATTTTTTTTTTTTTTTTTTTTTTTTTTTTGACATCATAACCCCCATGAAATTACTTGTTTCACTATCAGGATTTAATCCATTCAGTCTGATAACATTTGGAAAGTCTAGAAGAGCCGTAAGATTAAATCATTTTATCCCTATTCAAATTAATGGAGTGTACACCAGAAGTAGATGGATCAGCCAGCCAAAGTCTCTAATGTGCTGGCTCCATTGGCCCAATGATGCAGAAGCAGCGCTGATCATACAGGTAATTTTCAGGCTCCCTGAAATGCAGCTCAGCCTTGCGGCCAGTGGCAACTCACAGTATTGCAACAAAAAAAAAATCCCCTGCAGCCCAAAAAGCATCTTCCCCACAGGCTACTAAGATATCCGTAAAACTGATGACAGGACACCTCAAACTGCAAACAAGGTCAGATATGACTCTTTATATTATGTTTTTTTAACCATGGAGGTTTTATATTTGTAAAAAGTTCCTGGTGCCAAGAAAGTGATTTAAAAATCTGTGACATCAAAACAGACATATCACAACATATCATTAATGACACTTTCCGTTAAGCTGTTAACATTTCTGGCATTGTGCTGGATACATTTACACTTATGCATATTATTGGTAACCTTTACTGCAGAGACACTCAACTTGCTTTGCCCGGGGGCCACTTTTGCAAGATGACAGGAAGCCAGGGGCCAGACCTCTTTCTGGGGGTTAAGGGAACTTCTTTTGATCAACAAAATGCTTTTTAATGCACTCTAGCACCTTATAAGTACCAAAAAAAACAATGTGAATAAATTTATTTTCATTGTGACTTAGAAAATGGTTGGGGGCCATCCAGCACACCACCCAGGGCCTCATTTAGCCCACTGGCCTTAAGTTGAGTATCACTGCTTTACTGTTTATGTTTTGCTTATTTGCACTTTATATATCTGCACTTTTTTCCACTTTGTACTGCAACTGCTGCACAACAGTCTTCCTTGAGATAAAGTTTCGCCTTATCTTCTATCAGATTCAAGTCATTATTCCATTTTCCATATCCTAAAAAAATGTCTGGAGAGGATCTTAAAGTTCATTACTGTAGCTAAAATACATGATAAAGTCTCCACTGACATCTTACAAATTAAAAGAGTGGGTAAGGTACTGAGCTGTTGTTGTTTTTACACAGAGAGAGATGTTATTATATGGTGGGGTCTTTGAAGCACATTCCTGTCAGTGCAGTGCAGACAGCAGTCCACAGGGGAAAAAGGAAAATGAGAGGTTTAGCAAGCAACAGGAAAACCGCTATGAGAACACATTCCAGGCAGAGCAGACCCTGTACGGGACAATAAGGGGTGGGACAAAGCTGTGTATACTATTTAAAAATCTCTAATCTTGCCCTTAGATCAGGACCATGGACAACAGCTAAGAAACTCTCTTACTTAATGGGAGAGGACTTACAGAAAGCCTTCATTTGTGGGGCTCTCAAAGCGGAAGCAGGCTGGTCTGAGTCCAAACCGACGACGATGTTGTCGGTTTATCAGCGCAGATTTGGACCGAGATGAGATAGGCTTCAGCCCGCTTTCTGTTTGTCGTCCTGCCAGGACACAGCTGCCAGTTCCTCTCATTTTTTAAATGTCTCACTTCTTCCACATGTAGAGATTTCGCTTGTTACTAAAGGCTGTTTTAATTTTTGGAGCAAAGAGGAAAAACTGCGGACGAACTTTTTTCCCAGAAACGGCGGTTGGTCGTCACCGAATCAGGAAAGGATGTGAACATCTGCAGCTGAGACGACAAGTAAAACAGATTAACTCCACTGTTGTCGAAATGGAGCCTGTTGTATTTTAAACGTTTCCTCTAAAGTTACTTCGTCTGCCTTAAACACTTGGGCAACGGAGGGACACTTTAAGCTAACTTTGATATGGGAGACGTGCGGCGTTTGCGTCTGTCGAGTTAAAAGGCGAGTTGGAAACAGGTAAAGCGTTATATTTCTCTTTCTGTGGGTGTTTTTGATTTTAACTGGCTTAAAATGTAAATTATTGTTAACACTGAACGTTAAGTCACAGCTGACAGCGCCATACATCACTCCACGTGTTTCCAGATGTGAACCAACAGGTGTCGAGAAGTAGCCGTACCTGACCTTAGACAAATTAACAACAGTGAATCATGACCTTAAAGCCACCACCTGTGTAGTGATGCTATTTTTCCTACATCTATGTTTAATACTAAGAATAGCCACAATACATTCAGTTTATTGAACTCTATATTCTGTATACCAGTGGTGGAATGTACTTTAAAGTACATTTAGCTTATATAGCTCAAGTATTGTACACATTTTAGGTATTCTCACCCATCTGATTCTGCCTAGCTAAATTTTACTTTACTGCACTTATCTTACAGTCAGCTTGATCGATAAATCAATAAAGCCGCCGATATTAGCTTATTGCAGATATCAGGCATCATGGCTGATAAAGAGAAACTACAGTACAGAAAATATGTGTCTGAGGTAGAGGCATATATTTGTTATGTGTGCATGTAAAAATCAAAGACTATATTGGCTGATATAATCGTGGCTTTTTTTGAATGTGGGACTTGTGTGGAGTGCTTTTACATTGTTTTATGGCTACTTATGCTAAAGGATCTGGCTGATATCAGCTTATTGTAGATATCAGGTATCATGGCTGATATAGAGAAACTGCAGTACAGAAATGCCAAATATATGTCTGAGATAGAAACAGTGTCGTCATTCTATGGGCCTATTGTAGTTTGTCGACCAGGGACCACTGAAAAGTTTATTTATCAACTGTAAAATGTTATATATGTCACATATCTCGGCCATAACTCTTTAAGAAATATATGTAGGCCTATTTGTTATGTGTGCATGTAAAAATCAAAGACTATTGGCTTTTTTTTCTCCATCAAATATTGGTATCAGCCACAAACAATCTGTTATCACTCGAGCTGTAGCCTAAACAAACTACTTTAACAGATTAAGACTTGACATAAAAGATAATACAATCTTATAAAAATTAGTTGGTATAGACTGAACAACTCAACAGGATTTAAAGTAAGCTAGATAAAAGTAATTCCCCCTTAACTACTTACATGAACTGCTGCTTTAATATTAATCTATCAGTAATAATAGTTATAAAATACATGATAGATAACACTTACAGGTGCCATTCTGCTACATTATGAGTACTTTTGATGATTTAAGCACATTTGGTCATGATTTGTATTTTTTACTTAAAGGGAAAGTTCACCCCTAAATCAAAAATACATATTTTTCCTCTTACCTGAAGCACTGTTCATCAGTTTAGATTGTTTTGGTGTGAGTTGATGAATGTTGGAGATATCAGCAGAAAAGATGTCTGGCCTCTCTCAAATATAGTGGAACTAGGTGGCGCTTAGCTTGTGGTGCTCAAAACACCAAAAAATAGATTTTAAAAAACTCAAAAGCAATCTCTCTCTTTTAGAAATCATGACCTGGTTACTCAAGATAAATCACAGACCTTGTTGTGAGCAGTTTCATGTAGGAACTAGGCCTTTTTTCTGTCTACTGATGTACACCTGCCAACTGTGTCACCGCACAGAAGGAAGTGTGCATCAACTCATGGATAGAGATTAATTTAGAGCTAACTGATACTGCTAGCTCTCCCAACAGCACAGAGCTAGCTAACATTACAGCTCAGCTATCAAGAATACGTGCTTTGCATCCATGAGTAACTTCCTCACTTCTGCAAAGTGAGGGAGTTAGCAGGTGTAGTTCGGGATAAAGAATATAGTTCCTACATAAAACTGCTTACAACTGCAGATTATCCTGAATAACCGGGTCAGGATTCCTGGAAAGTGACATTTCTGTTTTTTGGCACTTTGAGCACCACAAGCTAAGTGCCATCTAGTTCCATTATATTGGAGAGAAGGCAGACATCTCTACAGCCGATATCTCCAACACTCAGCAGCTCACGCCAAAACCATCTAGACTGATAAATATTAAATAGTACTACAGGTAAGAGTAAAAATATATATTTTTACCTCTGCCAAGGAGGTTATGTTTTCACCGGCGTTGGTCTGTTTGTCTGTTTGTCTGCAAAATAACTCGAAAAGTTTTGAACGGATTTTGATGGAAGGGTTGATAATGGGACAAGGAACAGATGATAAAATTTTGGTGGTGATTGGTTGAAGCGAAGTGGATAAAATAATAAAATGTCGGGAAATCCAAGCTGCTTGGCGGAGGTCTGCGCTCTCCGAGTGCTCTAGTTGATTTTGGGGTGAACTGTCTCTTTAAATAAGATTTTGAATGTGGGACTCTGACTTGTGTGGAGTGCTTTGACATTGTTTCGTGGCTACTTTTGCTAAAGGATCTGAATACTTCCTGCACCACTGGCCTGTACTTTGTGGCATGATTCTTCTCTCAAAACATGATTGGGTGAAAAGTTCATACCTCATGAAATGTGCAGAATTAGCATATATCCTGGAGAAGCTAGTCTGTATCTTAGATCATGAATCATAACTGTATTTCACCTCTCTACACATAAGAGAGAGGTTTATCCTGTCAGTGTATAGGTCGTGATAGATGTGACATAGGCTCTGTCTAGGTGGGTGCTGTTGTTTTTCCATTTTTCAGGTGCGTCACTCGTTCTCATTCCCATACCCACACCTACACCTTTTCACTTTTAGTTCTTCATCTCTCGATGCAAAGACTAATTTGTGTGCGCATCATGTCTGAGATATATTCATCCTCCTCTTCCCCAGACACGCATTCATCGTAGGTATGCATGTGAGAGCATGCAGACAACAACTGAGCCGTAAAGCCTGCCAAGCCTGGCTTTGTCTATGAAATGAAGATACAATCAGTCTGTCGCTGCAACCAGCAGACAGTCGCAAGAGGTTTCTTACCACTTAAAACACACAGAACACAAGCGTTTTAAATGTGTGGCTATGTCATTAAAAAGAACTGAATGTGATGTTTTCTTGCCATTGAAACCACATAATAGAAGCTTTTACAGTAACACTGCTTTAAGTTACTTTCCAGAGACAGAGTTATAGGACTTTTTGGTGTGATGAGGCCCAGTGGAGGGGCTGTTAGAGGCTGCTGTGCTATGCCATGCCCCCACCATCCACCACTATAACCACACAGTCATCCAGATGGAATGAGAGATCTGCCTCTCTTAGTTAAAGCCCTGTAGATGAGAGGAAGAGATGACAATGGATCTTTTCCCCCTGGGTCACGAGGGTGTAGCGTTGGACAGAATGGAGACAAACAGGAGAGAGCTCAGAGAGGAAGTGTGCTGGAGTCTAAAGTCAGCCTGCCTATGATGGAGGGCGTGATTACTGCTCTCTCCTATGTCAGGATGATAAAAGTGATAGCCAGAGAAACAAGACACAGTCATGCTCCTCTTCTGGGAATATGTTGATTCTGCGGGTGGAGTTGTGTTTAGTATTCCTCCAGTGGACCCACAGATTAACCACCACCACTGACATGTAGGCTGCATGACACAGGAAGTGCTCTTTTTTCTGTTTGGTAAAATATGGCTTGTGGTTTTAGCGAGTCAGAGCAGAGTGCAGTGGGTTCTCATCTGTTGAGCTGGAGCCTGACAGCTAACCAACGTAGGGGGGAAGTCTAAAGATAGTTCGTCAGACATTTCTTATCAGATTTCTCATGTGAAACAGAAATCTAATAGCAGAGATTTCACTTTGATTTGACACTTTGATAAATATGGAAAACTCCCTTCAGAACGTGCTCTCATTTCGAGACAGCCAGCTATGTGTAATTATAGATCAGATGCATTTAAAGAAATACTTTTAAAAAAATCAGATACTCATGCTTCACACCTTCACTCTGGTTTCTCCCCAGTGACATTTGACATGACTCAATGAAATGACTAAGTTAATGCGATGGCTTCCTGTAGTTTGTACTTAAATATATCTAGCTAGATGCATCAAAACTAAAGGAGGATATCCGTAGTATTGTGCTGACATGCAAGTTCCACTGCCAGATGTGTGCAGTTCAAGGGTTATGTGCTGTGGGAGAAATGAGGTAGGATCACTTTTTCACTAAAAAATATTTGATGATAAAACATGCTGTGTTGTACAGTTGCAGCAAGTGATAGCTAATGTAGAAAACATGCCCATTATAGATAACATACCACCAGTTTCATTTACACAGCCTACAGCAGATCAGCAAATGGAGGAATCTATGTACAACTGCACATGAAGTTTGTTTTTTTTTTTTTTTTAATGAAAGTTGGTACAGTGATCTGTCTTTTTAATAAGCACCACATGGTTGAGTTTGAATTTTTACAATGTGGCCAAACAGGTTTGACAGCTTTACCTGTTTGACTGAGTCAAAGTTGAGCAGACTGTCCGACTGGTGGGATTTTTTCCTCACCCAGTAGTTGCTTTTTTTATTTTTAATTACATTTGTATGTTATGTCTTGAATCTGTAACCAAAGCTACATTCGCTCTAGGCTACAAAACAACTCAAGTGGCATATAATACTAGTATTGTAAAAAAATAAATAAAAAATTGAAATTAAAGTATTTTTATATAATTGTTGAAGCCAAAGTGATTAATTGATCTATTTTACCACAGTTACATTGGCATTACTTATAACAAGAGATGTCCCAGTCCCAGACTTGTGTGTGAATCAGCCGATACTGAGTACCAATCCAATACCATTACATTAAAAAAAAAAAAAAAAAAGCTGTGTGCTAACTCTGTATGGATGTGAAATGATTGCTATCATTGTATGGCATGGCTTAGGCTGAACCATTTGTATCACGTGAACAAATACACACAGAGAATAGTGCAGCACAAGTTTATTTTATCCGGTGTAAAGCATTGCCAAATTGACACTTGTTAGCAGTTCATTGTCCACTATTTAACAGTGATCAATTCTTCTTCACTGCTCTAAAACAGTAGTCGCCAGTGGCTGCAAATCACAACTTGTTCTGTAGGCTACTGTTTTGGAGCAGTTAAGATGAACTGATATCTGGGTGAGGGTGCGAAGCTACTTTAATATTATTATTAATTATTATTAATAAATGACTTGTTGCATCGGTGTATAGCCTCGCATACTTGCCAATACTAGATCCAGCATTTTAGACAGTATCCGAGGCATTTCAGACACTGGTATTGGTATTGGAACAACTCTACTTATAGTATAATTGATCCAATGACAAGTTACAACCCAGAAGCATAGAGTATTATACTGTAGGTTTTCTGAGAGTGATGAATGATTTTTGCCCAACTTTCCTCAGCTTCAAGAGATTTTTTGTGTTTTTATCCACCATATTTTACCGACATTTGGCTGGTGGCTGGTTGCTGATTTACAGCTCTGGTAAATGTCTACCTTCAGGGCAAGAAAAGTGTATTACAGATAATCAATGTAACCTCTTTGCATAATGGTTTGCACAAGTGGTTCTGAAGATGCTCGAAGTGCATCTAAAATGTATCTCTATTGAGACATTTAACCTGTACAACTCTGAAGCCACGTGTCACTCTGTGTTGTTCTCTGGGCAGTGACACAGAGAAAAGACTCAGAAGTGTCAGCCCTAGGAATCATCTTGTTTCCTTTTTTGGACTTTAGTCATCGTCTATGGCAACTGTCTCTTGAATCTGAATGCACACAGGCTAATTGATGCCTATCTCAGTCCGTACAATTCCACACATTTCAGACTTCATTTAAGCTCCATTCACCTCAGAGATTAGAGGACAGACTTCAGGTGTTGCATAGAATATAAAATACAGATTGCAAGCATCATTTTCTCCTTGCACTCTTATGATTAAAGAAGCTGCCAGCAGGCCCTAGTAAATCCAGAGGCTGACACAGGCAAATGGTATCTAACTACATTATCCAGCTATGCTGATCCTACTCTCAACGCCTCTCAAACAATAGCATTTCCAAAAGACATGCCTTCTGAGTGGTAGGGATACTGCTGCTAAACAATGGTGAAGACAGACCTCAGGGTTTATGTGGGTGCTTGTGTTATTGTGTGCTTTTTCAGACAGAAAGTTAAAAGCATGGTGAATAAATCACCATTTTTATGGCTTTTATAATTCCTTGGTGACAGACAGACAGACAGACAGATTCAAAAAGCAATTTAAATGAAATCACAAAGAATAGAGTCTAAACTGTGCACGAGCATAAACTCAAGGGGCTTTTAGGAAACATACTAAATATGAAGTATTTTACGTACTTCATATGTAGCACAGTGCAGTAATGAAATAAACAATTTGCTCGTTTGCAGTGTTTTTAACTTAGTCTTGTCACTTTTTACTGTTTTTTTAATTAAATGTATCATGTCTAAGCTCACCTGGGTGTCAAGTTAAGAACTAGATTGTGCTTCACCAGTGAGAAAGGCTGAGTCGTGCATGAAGGCCCTCCTCCTTGCGTGACCCTCAGCACTGCAGCCCTAAACAATGAGCAGACCTGCGTCTCGCCGGCCAGCCGGGTGGGGCCACTCAATGGCAGGAAGCTCAGCCATCAATATTTACTCTGCGAGCAGGGTAGTCGAGGAGTCGACAGGACTGGAGCCTGGGTAGCACAGCGCCACACACAGCCTCAGCACACATACACAAACACTCTGGAGTGCTGTTACAGCCTCCTTCCCCTAAGCCCCCTTTTCCCACCCAATATAATTACAACACAGGCAGACAGGCTGGGCCCTTGGACTGTTGTTTTTGACCTCATAGCTTCCTCTGCCAAAGAGTCCGGGCTTTAACCACTGCTCGACTCCTCATAGACACTATTAAGTTACAGTCTGTAAATTCCAATCACAGCAGTTAAAATGTCAGGGAAATGGCCTTGTTTTTTCCATTATGTCCCAAATGAAATCTTCGGTTTCTCATTATGACAGCTCTCAATAAAGGGACAACACTAATTCTATTATCATCGTTTGATTATATTAACTGTTATTAATTATTTTGTTCCTGTTTCACAGAGATGGGAAGCTCTGCTCTGCTCACAGTGGTGCTAGTTGGGGCGTTGCTGTGGATCTCTGCTATCCACGCAGGTGAGTTAACAGATATGGAAAATGTTCAGTGCTGTAAAGAGCATTCAGTTAAAGCTCCATTACAGGAAACTTTTGATTTTGAATATGAAAGGTTCACTGGTGCGGCAGAACCCACTGAGTAAGCAGCTTTTAGTCCTTTGTGCGAACTGGAGAACCAAAACATAGACTGTATGTTTCAGTCTCACAGTTGTCACCAGTCCTCCAGTGTAAAACAATAGGTAGCTGTTTGCAGCAAACAAGCTCAGACAGGCCGAGTGCACACCACCCACCTGGCATGAAATGCAAAGGCAAAGTAAATGAGTGGCTGTTGAAGACAGCTGAATATGAGCGCAGGTATTGGTGGACCAAACCACAGCTAAAAGCCTCAGGAACATTGGGCCTCCATTTGTCAGGTGGTCAGACAGCTCTGAGTCTTTCTGCCTCCTAGTGGTCAAAATGTGTGTAATGTAGCTTTAACCATATCGAACAAATAGTCTGTTTCAAAATTCAATTCTCTTTTCCACTCCTTGGTGGGTTAAATGTCTTTTCTGCAGAGCTTGTTTCAGACAGAAATGTATGTATGAGATATGTTAAAACTAACATTTACTTTAATGCTGCTGTGTGTAGTTCCTACCCATTACTTCCTAAACACACACTGGGCTCCAGATTACCTCAGTTTTAAAGTAACAGGGTGTAAGATTTAGGGGGATTTAGTGGTTGATTGCAACCAGTTTAAACATCTCCCAGTTTCAATTCCTTCCCTGTTCATTGTCCAGGAGGTTTTCACCAGGTGCTGAATCATCCGCAGAGGTCTCTTCCTCTCCAAATCAAACGGACCAGGAAATTTAAACCGGAAAAAACATGGATTAAAGCGGTTTAACAGTACACAACAGTGCTTCTCTTACGTTCTTGTCAAGGAGGGGCTGCTAACTAAGGCAGGAAACACAAAAACTCAAATGGCCCTGCCTAGAGCCAGTGTTAGGCTAGGTTAGGTTTGTCCATTCTGGGCTACTGTAGAAACATGGCTGTACAAAATGGTGATCTCCATGAAGAGGAATCCATTTAAGTTGATATGAACGGCTCATTCTAAGGTGACAAACACACAACAATTCTTATTTTCAGGTGATTATACACTAAAGAAACTTAATATATTGTTTTCCATTTCTGCTAATATATTCCCCGAAATCCTACAATAGTAAGTACCATAATGCAGAGGCTTGCAATGTAAGAAGAGTTCAGGGTGTGAAAAGTACCCTAATCATCATGAACCTCACACCTCTTCATTTAGTGTCTGTGTCCTGTTATTTTCATGGGGATTCCCCCTTGAGGAAGCCAAGGTCTCTTTACTAGAATATTTTGTCACTTTACCACTGATCTTTAAATAATGATTTGTGTGATGAATGTTTGGCCATGCTTTTCTATTTCCATTTCCCAGATCACTCATCTGTGGTAGGTTTTTCATTTTACTACTGACGGGTAAGACTTGCCTTTCTGTCAACACTGTCTATGTGTACTTCCTTGTGCTTCAGATTCCGAAGACGATGGGAAGCTACTGTGTGCATGCGAGAATGCCAAAGGCACATGCGTGAATGGAACTTGCAGAGGAGACATCTGCTTCTACACTTGGTGGTACAGCAATGAGGAGAGGGGCTGTTTCTCCGCAGTTAACTACATGGAGCAGTGCTTCACCTCCTTCGACCGCTTTTTCGTCCACTGCTGCAAAGACAATCTGTGCAACACAGACACCACGCCACCTCCAAATATTAGTCAGTATCCCAAAGCCTTTGCTTTACAGTATTTGATATCACATCCATTAAGCTGATCACAGAGGGACTGAGCCTCCTCAGTCACACAGTTCAGTGCACGTCCTGCATTACTGTGCTGATGGGACTCAGAGCTTCCCTCTAGATAATAACTGGTTCCCCCTTGTGGTCAGTTACGGCAAATTGATAATGTTGCTTTTTGGACTGATGATGTACTGCATGTCATATAACCAGCATGTTTACCTTTAATTAAAAAGAACAGCAAACCTTTCCTCCTCAGTTTACTGAAGTGTTCTCAGCTGGTTCCACCAACTCAAAGACGTGTGTGTTTGTGTGTGTGTGTGTGTGTGTGTGTGAATGTGTGTGTATCCAGATGGAGTGCCAACAACAACGCCCCCAGAGCTCAGTCGTCCGGAGCTTTGGATCACGTTGTCTTTGCTGCTGTTAATCACGACTGTCAGCGTGTGTGGCCTGGTGCTGTTCCTGCGCTTCCGACGTGCACATGGCAGACTGAGAAACGTCAAGGACCACGATGTCACCATGCTCAAGGTCCCTAACGGAGATGAACCCACATACGGCGTAAGGGACATTCGATGTGTGACATGAGACACAATATAAAAGATGTTAAAGTTTGGGTTCTTACATTTGAATTATTTCTGTGTCTCTGTCTCAGGATATCTTTGATGAGTTTTGCACATCAGGAAGTGGGACAGGGCTGCCCTATCTGGTCCAAAGGACTATGGCCAGACAGATTTCACTTGTCCAGTGTGTTGGTCAGTCCCCTTTCTCACCGCTGTTGCTCTTCTTTGCCCTGTGTTTTTTAAATACTTTGCAGTTGTGTAACTGTGTCACTCTGTTTCCAGGTAAAGGCCGGTATGGGGAGGTGTGGAGGGGAACTTGGATGGGGGAGAGTGTGGCTGTCAAGATCTTTTCCTCTAGGGACGAGCAGTCCTGGTTTAGAGAGACAGAGATCTACAATACTGTACAGCTGCGACACGACAACATACTGGGTACGGCAGCAGATTAAAGTTGTGAAGAAATGTTTCTTGTGACATGTTTTCTGTGTAAAGAAAAGTGCATTTTCATTTAGGGCTGGGCGATACAGAGAAAATCAGATGACACATTATTTTTGACCAAATAACTATTGATATTTTGACAATATTGTAGGGTTGACTGTGTAATTGTATATAGTTACTAAAGCCCTGTTCGCACAGGGCTAGTATTACCTGGGGACATCATATGATTCAGATATAACCAACCCCACATCTTGTTTCATGCACTCATTCGCACAGGATAAGTCTAATTTACTGACATTATCCCCTGAATGTGATGTGCACAGTTATTTATAACTCCACTCTACACAACACTACTAGCTGTGATGTACAGTTTTAACCTCCTTTTTCTATTAAATGGGGTTTAAACAAACAGAACCAATTCTTCCACACACTGTCACATGTTATGTATCTCATCATCTTTCAAGATTTCGCTCCTCTGATTGATTTGAGCTTGCTTTTGCTGCAAACAGGTCTCCATGCTGTGTAGCAAGATGAGTCTCCTGCACCCAGAATACTGTCAAAACAGATTTATAATTGACAAAGCAGCCTCCATACTTCTCGATGAGAAGAGAGGCAAAAACAAGGCGTGGATAAAATGGAAAACGTAAACAGGACAAAGCACTGAGATGCCAATTCACACAGGACTAGTATGATTACAGAACCTCTGTGTTTGACTTGTGATGGCAGATTTGCATGGTACTAAGATTGTAGGTGACCTCCACAGTTATTACAAATTACCAGAGGTCCCCAGGTGATACTAATCCTGTGAAGGAAGGGCTTTAGTGGGTAAAGGCAAATAATTAAGCAGCTAGAACAGTCTGGTTAGTTCAGAAAATGACATCACTTTAATGTAGGGCAGCCTTTAAATCTAGGAGAAGACAACACTTGCTGTGTTCCGGTATCCAAAATCTAAGATGACATATAGACTTACATCACAAAATCAATATATTGCCCAGCCCTAATGTCATTTTAAAAAGACATTAGCCAAAATACAGATGTGTAAATGGTGATCTCCTGTCCTGGCTTTAGGTTTCATAGCTTCTGACATGACATCTAAGAACTCCAGCACCCAGCTGTGGCTCGTCACCCACTTTCATGAGCTGGGTTCGCTCTACGACTTCCTGCAGTACAGCAGCTTGGAGCCAGAGAGCTGCCTGAGGATGTGCCTGTCTGTGGCTTGCGGCCTCGTTCACCTTCACACTGAGATTGTCAGCTCCCAGGAAAAGCCAGCCATCGCCCACCGAGACCTGAAAAGCCGCAACATCCTGGTAAAGCGGAACGGACAGTGCTGCATCGCTGACCTGGGTGAGCTGAGTTGTGTAGAAGCAAGGACTGCAAAATCACAATTAATCCACTAGACTTCCAGTTGTATCTGTTTCCAACTTCTGCTGCTAGTTATGATTAATGTGTTGAGACAGAGCAGCTGGTTCATGGTGATTAACTGTGAGTTAAAGGGTTGCATCTGTTCTCTGTGCCTGCTCGCTGGTCAGGTTTGGCTGTGATACACTCTCAGTCCCATGACTACCTCGATGTGGGCAACAACCCTCGTGTGGGGACCAAGCGCTACATGGCCCCTGAAGTGCTGGATGAGACTATTCGTATGGACGTCTTTGAGTCCTACAAGCAAACGGACATCTGGGCCCTGGGCCTTGTCTTCTGGGAAATTACCCGCAGGACCATTGTCAATGGTAAGAAGACAGCTGCCTGTTAGAATATCTTGCCTTTAAAGTAGCTTTTTGCTTTCACTTATCTAAACGTCATGGAAGAAATGGCACACAGTGTGTTTATACATCAGTGTATCTTCTGAAAGTTGATATGTTACCCATCCTCTCAGGCACACCATGTTGAAAATGTGTTTTCTCTGTCATGTCTGCCTGGCTCTGTGTATATAAGAGGCAGTCAGTCCCGTGTCTCTCAGCACCCCAGTGTTTTCCTAGTCTGTGTCTGTCTCTACTATCCTCTCTCATGATTAGCACTGCAGTAATTATAAACAGTCTTATCTGGTGTCAGCACTCACTTGTACATAGTCCAGATGCCCGTGCACACAATTTGTAGATGCAAGCACACATCAGCGCTCAAACAACCACACATACACACAGTGGCGCTAACACAGTTAGTCCAGATGGGTAGACATTCATAACTTTATGAGTGTGTGTGTGTGTGCGTGTGTGTGTGTGTGTGCGTGTTCTCTCACAAACACATACAGTGAGCAGGCCTCGCAGATCTCCATCCCAGTGTAGTCGTCAGGGAATTGATATCTTTCCCCGCTCTCTTGTTTAGTCAAACATACTTTACAAAACTCCCACTGCAGACTTTCTCAATTTCCAAGTGTGCTATTTCAGGCTTTGCGTGAAGAGAAATGTACGTTTTTAAAAATGTATGAGGAGGTAAATTAGGGGTTTAATGTTGGTGATGAGTTTTCTTATAATGTTAACATTACAGTTATCCACTAAATCCCACAACCAATAATGATGTGATAGCTTGGTAGTTGCTCATCTGCTCAGCCGGAGAAGAAACAATGCACTGACGAGCGAATTCACAAAAGGATTGTGCGGCTTTTGCAGACACTTAACGTGCACAAAGAAGACCAAAGATAAAAAAAGTTTAATTCTCTGAGCACCCACAAAGTGTCTAATACACCCCTGACTTTGACGGCAAGCAAATAGCGTCTCGGTGCTCCTGTGCTATTTGCACATATGTAAATTAGGTAATGTACTGTGTATATGTTTAGTGCAAAAGTGGCGCCTTTCTATGCAAATGAGCCTGCCCTCCATGGAAAAGCAGTCAAATTCATAGAGATCAGCACGAATAGCCACACGCAGTCACAGTGAAATGGTGAGTATCTTCAGAGAGTTGGTGGTAACTGAAGCACATTTATAGTGGGTTTCATGCCCAGACTCTCAAGTGGTCATGGCAGCAATGATTGAAGCCTGGCGAAGCTTTGAGGAATGCCTCTGCACCTCATAGGTCAAGACCCTGTAGCTTGCTGTCTTTACATTTCTGTTTTCTTTTACCCCTAGCTGCTGTTCTGCCCACTGTGTTCTTGGCCAAATGAATAATTTCAGTCAGGTGCAATAAAATGAGCAAGTTGCACTCAGCTGCAACATTTTATGGGCGTGTTTGCGCTGTAATATCGTAAGCACAGTATCTTTTATGAATCTGACCTTGAGACGGGGCAGATAGAGGTTGCAAGTGATGTCCAATTCATGGTGCTATCAGTAGCTGCAATCTATTCTTTGTGAATTTACCTGTCTTTTTTTCTTTTTTGGATTGTTATAGGGATCGTGGAAGAGTACCGCCCTCCCTTCTTTGACCTGGTGCCCTTAGATCCCAGCTTTGAGGAGATGAAGAAGGTGGTGTGTGTGGACCAGCAGAGGCCCAGTCTGCACAACAGGCTCCATTCCCACCCTGTATGTCATCTGATGACACACACATTAACGCAAACATACACATAAGTGTAACTGTAACTGTTAACTCAGAGCACATACTCTACAGGACACACAATAACGATGCCACATGTTTCATCCAACTGGGATGCCCAGGTTGTATTTTCACATTTGTCTCTTTGTGTTCAGATCCTAACGGCCATTGTGAAGATCATGAAGGAGTGCTGGTACCAGAGCCCGTCGGCCCGCCTCACTGCCCTGCGGGTGAGAAAGACACTCTCCAAACTGGACCAGGACAGTGACTTCAGCATTGAGAAACTCAAGCGGGACATCTAGACCAGAGGCATGAAGCTGGGACAAAAGATTGAAAGCGCCAGAAGGGATTATGCGCCACATTCCAACAGCACGAGGTGCATATCATTAGCATATTTTTGAGCTAATGACTCACACAGTCACGGCATTATATTAAAACCATATGACTTTCAGCAGTAGTGTCTAGACTGGCTCCCAAGGCTATTTTTTTTTCTTTTTTTTTTTTTGCTTAGCATACCCTAATTTTCATCTGCCATATTCCTCAAACCAAAAGGCCCCCAAAAGACAACCATTAAGACCACAATGTTTTATCAAGGTATATTTAGTTTATTATGTTGAGCCAATAAAAAGCATTTCCAAAGCTAAATAACACCAAACAACTCATGGACTGTTCTACACACACAGGGTTTTATTCATAATTGTCTAAATCCTCCATCGTCATAACAGAAAGGAAATCTGGCATTACTCATCATCTTATCGAGAAGAGGAGGAGCATGACATTTTAGACTTTTCTCTGAAATACAGTGTATTTGCACAAATGGTTTTTTCCCGAAAATTACCAAAGAAAAGACGGAGGCCTTTGTGTTGTTGGGGGTTTTTTTTCCCTAAGAATACAGGAAATATGTAAGTAATAACATGTTCATACCAAAGCACATTACCTGTTGTGTAAGCATATTTAACTTATATAAAATGAGCATTTATTATCTGCACACAGGCACATTGAGCTATCTAGTTGTACATATTCTAACAGCGCTGAAGCTGTTGTCTTGTATCACCATTGGGTTTACTGTAAATATATTTTTAAAGGGATCCAATATTTTCTATTATACAACAATGACACATTTTATAAACTTTTTTACAACACATTTTCAGAGATTTTTTTACATTTCTGTAGGCCAATAATTTACCATCACCATTAGTATGGTCAATAAAGGAATTCACAAACAGACATGTAATATTGTATATGTTGAATAAAGGATTGTATTTTTCAACAGTTGGCGCTGTACATGATGTTTTTGTACCACTGATGTTTACAATTCCCTCCCTGACCAGTAGAGGTCATCAGATAGCAAAGATTGATCCATGTTGATTACAGTCGAGCAGCTTACCTTTTTTATTTGTGGTGTACTCATTTCATTTTGTTAAAGTTATTAAACAAAAAAAGTTTAGACCATCACAACAATGAATTATAATAAGCACAATGTCAGTGGAAGGTAGGGAATTTAATGTTTTATAGGAGTCATATTCATCATATTTGAACAACCGTAATAGCCCACGTGTCACTCTGTGCATGAAATGTCATTAAGATAAGATAACATGTTCACATTTTCTCTCAGTCACACTAACCTCATGTAGCGAGGCGCTAAACTAGGAAATATAAATAGACTCATGGAAGACAAGCCTGACTGAATGGGGACTTCATGAATAAACATGTAAAAAGTAATTTATATATTTATATTTCTGCTTCATTTTAAGAGGAGATTGATGTGATATTCTCTTTACACTGAAAAAACTAACATAACCTTCCATTTGTTTGTCATTTTTTAAAACAATGTCAATTTTGAGGTCTGTCCACTCTGAGGAGTTTCATTTCAAACAAATGTATAGATCCCGTTTAAAAAGGCAAAAATCTGACATATTTTGTGAACAGAAACGATTCTGCTCTCAGAATCAAAACTACTTGTAAACATCTTTGTTTACACTTCAGATGAGTCACAAATCGACACCCACAACCATTTGGTTTCAGCTTTAACCCTTGCAGCCGTAGTGTACAATCAGCTGTCACGCTTATCTCATTTTATGAACACTTACATAACAACAGTATTTTGCTGTATCAATGAACTGGTGGGGGGATGTGGGCAAAGTGAGGCAGAGAAGCAACAAGTTTACAAAATGTTCAAGAAGAGTCAAAATTGGCAAGAACGTCCAGTATTTGGTTAAAAATAATTGTTATCAGCTCCTTCATGTAATATGTGCATGTCAGTGTTTTCTTTTTCTATCTGGTGTGCTTGTTCTTCCTTTATCTGTTGATGTGTGCATGTGAATGTGTGTGTGTGTGTGTGTGTGTGTGTGTGTGTGTGTGTGTGTGTGTGTGTTTTCTGTCTGCCTGGTTGTTGAACAAACTCCAGAGAGATAATACTCCCTCAAAGCCCCAGTCTGTCTGGTCAGTCAGATGTAGAGCTGGTTATTTTTAACACTGCAGGGGGGTTGTTCAAGTATCAGAGAGGCCAAACTCCCTGTCTGTGAGTGCAGAAGCCCATCTCACTTCTCCCTCTGTGTATTCTTTTTCACAGCAGGATCATTCCAACTGGCTCGGTAGAGACAGAGGGATTTGTTCAGCAGACAACGTAGACTGGAGAAATGTGGAGATAAATTGGACAGGGCTGATAGCAGACAGATATAAAGCCACAGAGGACACTATGCAGACACAATTAGGCTTGAGGATAGATCAGTAAGAGTGCTAGCAAGAGGACAGGTGATAAAAGCAGGCACAGATAAAGTCCCAAATGCACCAGGTTACAGGCGGACTCACCTCAGCTTGAGCTACATTTTCAAGCAGTGGCAGCTGTGTCTGTTGGTTTAGACAAGTCGGGTCCCCAATCGCAGAAAAAAATTTGAAATGAATCTGGACCGAAACAGCCTTTGTGATCCTTACATCCAAGATTATTTTATACTTTCTGACTTCAAACTGCAAGTCGCTGTAACTTTCTGAAAAATCTGATACAGCAGTTGATGTGTGATCAGATCAACTGGAATTGTAAGGATGAAATGTGGCAGGCAAGGGTGTCGGTTTTGTTTCAGCGTATGAAATGGAGTTTGAGGGTCAAAAACTTTGCAGCAGCAAACAATTTCCTGAATTTTCATTCATTTTTATGCACCAATTTGTGCCTTTGTGTCACAATTTATGGAGTAAATGTTTTAAATTTTGTCAAAATAAAAGTCCTCCACAACTTATATGTTTTTCTGGAGGGGACCAACATGTCTTCATACAATGGTTCCTGTGATATCCTACTAATTAGCACCCAACGAATGGCGTTACGTCCTTAACGTAAAGTTATGTAATTAAATAAAGTTGCAGAGCTTAGGTGTTAGCAAGTTACCATGGTTAGTTTTTGGAAAAGAAACATAGTGCAGACATACCGTAAAATGTCTCAAAGTTCACTTAAGAGTCAAACGATTCTGAAAACCAGTCTCCTTAAGTTAAGTCCGGGGGAAAGTTCTGTGTTTTTTGACCAATTGACCACCCCAAGAAGGCTGGCTGTGCTCAGCCTTAGAGATAGGGTAAGGAGTAAGTATAAGTAAGTATAGCAACTACTCCTTCTTGTCGAAAGGGGTCAGTTGAGGTGGTCTGGGTATCTGATCAGGATGCCTCCTGGGTGCATCTTGTTGTAGGTGTTTCGGGCACGTCCCACTGGTAGGAGGCCCCGAGGCAGACCCAGAACAAGCTGGAGGGATTACATATCTTGTCTGGCCTGAGAACACCTCAGGATCCCCCAGGAGGAGGTGGAAAACGTTGCTGGGGAGAGGGACATCTGGAATGCTTTGCTCGGCCTGCTTCCCCCGCGACCCAGCTAAGATAAGCGGTTGAAAGTGGATGGATGACCACCCCAGCCTTCATCCTTACTGAACAACTTGGGACTGCTTCCTTCTTTACTCTGGTCAGCACATTGGTCACATGATTTCAGCCTTCCAAAATAAATGGGTTATGCCCAAATTACTGGCTCATCATTATGTGGGAAATGTACAAGTTTTGGTGCATTTCTTTTTGTAGGAAAAAGCAGGAACAGTTCATGAGCCCAAGTTGAAATATGCAAGTTCTAAATATTAAAGGGAACGTGTCCCCTGCGTCCCCCCCGAAAAATCCACACCTATGGTGGCAGGCTCTTTTTTATGCAAGCTAAATTGGTCTCACAGGTTTTTGAGCAGGGGAGAGCTGGTGGAAGTATAGATTAGACAGCTGCAGTGCCATGAAGCTATAATATCAATAAGTGATTAGTTTGATAACTGATCAGCCATTGAATATGGATAGACAGACACATGTGTTTGTTAAAGATGAGCCTGATGCTCCCAAAGTCACCCACTGTGCATATATCAGCTCTTCCCCTGCTGCCTTCTAACCTACATCCATATTAAGAGAAAAGGTTCAGCAGTCAGTCACATTAAATTCCTCTTCCATTTGCTTTTGAGGACGATGTCATGCCTGACTCCAAATGTCTACTCTGAATGAAGATGTGGCCTGCTTTAAATTAGAGTCATGAATTTGGTGACTGACCCTTTGTACACATTTTGAAAGAACAAGATGTTATTGGTTACCGGATATGTTCACAGTTTCTACCATTGTTTTAAATTATCTTCATCAGACCAATGTTTCCTGTCATTAAAAGAGACATTCAGTTATTTACATTTTTCAGTCATGATGCCAGTGGACGGTTGCCAGTTAGACCCAGTTCCCTGAACACATTTTTGTTTCTAATGGACCACTTACCAAAAGTCCTGTCTTGAGTAATAACCTTAATCAGGAATGCATAAACTTAGCATAACCAAGTTAACCAATGTAACCACTTGATATTGTTGCTGTTTGTTTCATGCCAATAATCAGATTGGGGGGAAATTTGATTTACTGAAAACATTTAGTTTGACATGAACTGTAGGAGATAACATTATGTAGTCATACAAACTAAATCAGTAATGCAGAAATGTAATCATAGTTATCTGATTTTTTAAATAATTCTGACTGAAATCAGATTATTAAATCCCTGCTACATAATATGAGGGAAACCGACACTCATTGTTTTCACCGTCTTTAACATCACCTTTATGTGTGAAACCCACTTTTTATGTCATGAAAAGAGAGATTTAATGATTTAAATTTTCATTAGGCGTTATGATAACAGTGGAAGGTGGCAGGTTAGACCCAATGTGTTCCCTCAGTGCATTTTTGCTTCAAATACACCATTCACCACCAGAACAATCTTGAGAAACAACACTAAATCAAGAAGGCCAAAACATATCAAATTTAACAAAAACATTTAGTCTGATACAATCTTAAGAATATAAAAAGGCATAACAATGTAGTCTTTTTACCTCTTTTTTTAGTACTGTCTTTTAGAGTGAAGCTCATTTTTATATCATAAATAGAGACCTTTAAAAATGTAACATAATCTTCCTTTTGTTATATTTTGTGATTTTTCTAAAGGAAGAATGCAAACAACCTCCAAGCCTTAAACAGTGGATGGACATAATCAGGGACATCTTTCTAATGGAAAAGCTGACTTTCTCTCTGAGGTCTAGAGGAGCAATATTCCTCAGCAAATGGGAGAAATGGACTGTCTTTATTTCCAAACAAATGGATGCAGCTTCGCCGTGAATGTCTGGGCAATGAAAGGACACTTAGCATATGGACTTATGAACACTCAACCCTGGTGGCCCCACACAGTGTTTATGTTTTGTCTAAACGTCTAAAAATAGGCTACTTTAAATAAAGATTAAAAAAAGGAAGAATGTAAACATTCAGGCCTATCCAGACTATAGAGATTTATATTAAGCTAATACAGAGATTCTATTTTAAAAGGGATAAAAATATGACAAATCAAGAAAAAAAATATTTAAAATTTCAATTTTATAATATGAAAATAATTAAATAATTTTAAAAATTAGTCATAATTTTCTGTTTTCTAATAAAGTACTGATTGGATGCAGATGATTAAATCCCTGGAGGAAAAACAACAAAGATTTTAACTGTTTTCACGTCTAACGTTATCTTTATGAGTTAAACCCATTTATAATGTCATAAAAGGAGAGAGTTAATCGTTTTACACTTTCATTGGTGCATCAGAGTATAATGTGGTATGTTAGACTCAGTTTGTTCTCTAAATATATTTTGTTTCAAGCAGATCATTAACCAAATGCAGTCATACATGACCTCAATCAAGGCTAAAGGTTCAGTTTATTCATCCATAAAATCATGTGCGCCCAAAAATAAAACACAGGAACACAT